GGGGCGGGGCGGCGCGCCGGGAGCCCGGAGCCCGGCCTTGCGCTCGGCTCGGCTCGCCTCGCGGCGGGCGCCCTCGTCGCCAGCGGCGCACCATGGACGGGCTGCCCGGTCGGGCGCTGGGGGCTGCCTGCTTTTTGCTGCTGGCGGCCGGCTGGCTGGGGCCCGAGGCCTGGGGCTCGCCCACGCCCCCGCCGTCGCCCGCCGCGCCGCCGCCGCCGCCCCTGCCGCCCGGAGCTCCCGGCGGCTCGCAGGACACCTGCACGTCGTGCGGCGGCTTCCGGCGGCCCGAAGAGCTGGGCCGGGTGGACGGCGACTTTCTAGAGGCGGTGAAGCGGCACATCTTGAACCGCCTGCAGATGCGGGGCCGGCCCAACATCACACACGCCGTGCCCAAGGCCGCCATGGTCACGGCCCTGCGGAAGCTGCACGCGGGCAAGGTGCGCGAGGACGGCCGGGTGGAGATCCCGCACCTCGACGGCCACGCCAGCCCGGGCGCCGACGGCCAGGAGCGCGTCTCCGAGATCATCAGCTTCGCGGAGACAGGTGGGTCGGCCCCGCGAGCGGCCCTCGCTCCCCCCTCCACCCCCTTCCCGCCGGCTCTGGCCGCCGCAGCCGCAGCCGCAGCCGCAGCCAGCGCGCCCTGGGGGGAACCCGGACTCCCGGCCCGGCCCAGCCCGCTCGCCTCGGGCCCTGTGCGCTCCGTCCCGGTCGTCGTCCTCTTCCCGCGGGCAGCAACCCCTTCCCGCTGCCCTACCCCCGCCGCGGAGCGCTCTGCTCTCCACCCCGCTCTCCGAAACGGGCCCCAGCGCCTCCGGGTGCGCGCCCCCCTCCCGGCCAATGCGTGCGGCCCTGGCTCCGCGGGCATTCGCTCGGTGATGGCTTAATGTTTTTGTTTCCCACAATCGGAGTGTAGGCTGAGCAGTGTGGATGGAGATGTGTGTGCTTGTTGATATCCGTGGGCCGGAGGAGTGTGTGTGTGTGTGTGTGTGCGTGTGAGTGTGCCTGCGTGAGAGGCCCCTGGGGCCGCTTCCATCGCCGGGTGGTGTGGGCTTGCCAGGATTGCTGAAGCCTCGCTGGGAAGAGCTAGGCAACCTCTCTTCCGATTGTGTGGGCACTGGAATCGGGCGGAAGGCAGGCTTCTCAACAGGTCCCATCATTTACGCAGAGAAAGACAGTGGCTCGGCTCCGGGGCAGCCCCGTGCCTTTCGGCTCGCCTGGCAGCGGCAGCAGCTCCTTGGCCTTAGAGCCAGTTGAGTTCGTAGTTAACAAAGGGTCGGAGTCCTTTCTGGAATTTTCCCCCGGCCCTGGATTGTAAATTTCTACCACTGTCTAAATGTAAAAATCAAGCAAGGAAAAATACCTTTCCAACTTTAAAAGAAGGAGTAAAATGTGCTCGTGCTGAAATGCTGCAACTGCTCTCGGCTCCGCTGTCCTTTTCAGGACTTGAATGAGCCCGGTGGCTTTTGTGCCTGGAGCTCAGCACCATTTGTGCCCAGGGGACTTCGGAGAAGGTTGCAGGAGGAAGCCCTGGGCAGGGTGGGGTGGGCAGGGAGCCTTGGGGGGGTTGGTGGCAATTGTGTCCCCAGGCTGCAGATGCCCTCCCCCACCCCCCAAGGCAGCGGGCAGACTGTGCTGGTGCCTCCTGGGGATGAAAAGGGATGAAAAGTTTTGCATGGCCGGGTGTGTAGCAAAGCAGAGACAATCAGGGCTGGTTTGTGCTTAGAAAGAAACACGTTGCCGTTTTAACTGTCCGACAGTCAGGGGAAGCTGGACATGCAATTAGAGAGCTTGGATTAAATGGTGCTTTGGGGCCCCGAGTAGAAATGTGATTCTGGAAGGTCGAGGAGGCCTTTTGGTCCCGGTGGCACAGAATGACAGCGGGGGCTGTTATATTTCTGGTCCGTTTCACGGAGCCAGCTCTTTGACTTATAAATAACAGATTCAGGTCACAGGCAGCTCGTCCAAGACCAGCTTTTAAGGCTGCACTTTCCCCCATTTCAAAGTCAGATGTCTGTTATTAAAGGAGCCAGGCGGGGCCTGAGGAGGGGGCTGGGAGGGGGACAGTGGTAGGAGGTTTGATAAAACCAGCGGAGGCCACACAGTTGTCTTATTTGTTCTTCCTGCAAAAAAAAAAAAAAAAATGTAGAGATTGTCAGAGAGAAGGGGCACTGAAATGTAGGCTGAGAGAGGAGTCCTCTTGGTTGGCATGGCCTCACTGCTACTTGAGCTAAATTATTGAGAAAACTAACAAGCCAGTTCTCCTTATCCATGGAGATTTCGAACGTGCCATTCACGGGGAGCCAGGGTCTCGTGAAAGGGGTGGGCCTCAAGTTTCAGAGCCCAGTGTCCTGTCCCTTGGAGCTACTCGGAAACGAGGGCTGCACTTTGCAGCCTGCAACGCACACGTTCCTGTGTCAGAAATCTAAGCAGAGCTGGCTTGTTTGCAGTGGAGGTTCCACTGGGGGTTGGATCAGATCATGCTTAGGTAAACACTGCAAAGAGGCAGTAGGTGGCTCAGCTGGATTTTGCAATGCCCTAAGTTAACCAAAAAAAAAAAAAAAAAAGAACCCAAACTCTGCTAGAACAACCCACCCCCAAATCCTCAGCGAGATCCTGGTTTTGTTTTTCGGATTTCACAGATACCCGTAACAACTTGTTAAGATCTTGGCCTCCTAACAAGCTCCTCTGTTGAGCTTTGAGTTCTGACAGCCTGTCTCCTGGGAACCCTGGCCTGGGAGAGGTGAGGCCGGGTTTTCTAGGCCCTGACCCTCCGACTCCAACCTGGTCCGGGTTTCTCGATGGGAAATGATTTTCCCCGCCTCTGCCAGGTTACCATCAGAGGCCCAGGCCCCAGGAGAGGAATTTGTGGGCAGGACCGGCCAGCTGCGTGGCCAGTGCGAAGCCCAGCATCACGCGGCAGAGTCCCTGTTTCCCGGCGCCTCACGTTCTCCTTGATCTAACTTGGCCTGCTCTCCCGCTTCTCCGCAGATGGCCTGGCCTCCTCCCGGGTCCGCCTGTACTTCTTCATCTCCAACGAGGGCAACCAGAACCTGTTCGTGGTGCAGGCCAGCCTATGGCTCTACCTGAAGCTGCTGCCCTACGTGCTGGAGAAGGGCGGCCGGCGGAAGGTGCGGGTCAAGGTGTACTTCCGGGAGCAGGGCCCCGGCGAGCGCTGGGCCGCGGTGGAGAAGCGCGTGGACCTCAAGCGCAGCGGCTGGCACACCTTCCCGCTCACCGAGCCCATCCAGGCCCTGTTCGCGCGGGGCGAGCGGCGGCTCAGCCTGGACGTGCAGTGCGACGGCTGCCGGGAGCTGGCCGTGGCGCCCGTGTTCGTGCACCCGGGCGAGGAGTCGCACCGGCCCTTCGTGGTGGTGCAGGCGCGGTTGGGCGACAGCCGGCACCGCATCCGCAAGCGGGGCCTGGAGTGCGACGGCCGGACCAACCTGTGCTGCCGGCAGCAGTTCTTCATCGACTTCCGCCTCATCGGCTGGAACGACTGGATCATTGCGCCCACCGGCTACTACGGGAACTACTGCGAGGGCAGCTGCCCGGCCTACCTGGCGGGGGTGCCCGGCTCGGCCTCGTCCTTCCACACGGCCGTGGTGAACCAGTACCGCATGCGGGGGCTGAACCCGGGCACCGTGAACTCCTGCTGCATCCCCACCAAGCTGAGCACCATGTCCATGCTCTACTTCGACGACGAGTACAACATCGTCAAGCGCGACGTGCCGAACATGATCGTGGAGGAGTGCGGCTGCGCCTGAGGGCGGGGCTCAGACGGTCCCGCGGCGGGGGGCACGCCGTGCGCGGCAGGGGGGCCGTGGTGGTGCAGCTGGGCTGCCCGGGAGGTGCCCGGGGGAGGCCTGAGATATTTTCCTACTTCTTCATCCAGCCATCAGTCAAAAGCGGAGGGAGAACCCTCCACGGATATGGCAGACTCGACAGTGCGCACGTGGACGCGCACAGCCGGTGGCACCCTGCCACCTACACAGCAGCCTCCGCGATAGCAGCGAACGGATGCGGTGACAAAGGGCAGCTCAGCCCCAAACGCCTGTCACCCGGAGAGTGGGGTGAGCAGCCACCATCCCCACCAGCTGGCCTGGCCACTCTGAATCGCGCCTTCCGAGCACACAGAAGAGCACAAAGACAGAGACACAGAGAGAGAGAGAGGGAGGGAGCCCCGCAGAGGAGCAGCAGAGGCGGAGGTGGGGAGCGGGCCGCGGGCGATGGCCGCGTGTCCCCCGTCGCCTGTTCAGGGCCCGCCGTGCCGCGGCATCTCTTGGCTCCAACGCATGGGCTTCGTTCCCCCGCCTGAGATCCTTCCTGCTGCGGCACCAGGGCAGCCCCCATCCTTTTCCACCCTTGGAGAGGGAAGGAGGCCCAGAAAGGACATCACCTGCCGGAGACGGTGGGGCTGTGGCAGTGACCGTTTGACTGTTGCTTGGGTCCCTGCCTCGACTTCTCTGTGTGTGTGTGTGTGTGTGTGTGTGTGTGTGTGTGTGTGTATGTGTGTGTGTTTTGGGGGTGGGGAGGGAGGGAGAAGAGAAGGGTCTTAATTTGATGCTTTAACTGATCACTAGCAGTTGAATGGTCATTCGTTCCGGTTGTACAATTGAAAAGGGACTTTTCTACCAGGTCTGACCTTTTAAGTTAAACTCTGAATTGTTCCAAGTGGAAAGAAAAAAGTTGCAATCTGCCCTTCCCTGGGGAGATTCCTCTAGGACTGGTTGGGGAGGAGTGGAAATGACTCTTAGGCAGGTGGGGGTGAGCTCTTAGGAGGAGGGAGCGGTGGGGTGAAGGCGTTCTGGAAATGCTGGGGGGGGGCGCCCCCTCAGCAGGGGCCGAGGGAGCACAGCAGTTTAACTGGTCTTGGGGAAACGGGGAGGCTTTCAGCTGCTTTGCAGAAGTGGCCCACGTGGGCCCCCGGCCACCAGCACCGGCCACAGATGTGGCCCCCGCCTGCTCGCCCGCCCGCCTGCCCCTCCTAGCACTTGCACACCCGCCCGAACGCACATGATACAGCCCTTGCTTATCCGCGTGTGTCCTGAAGTGGCCCTTGGTGGAGCATTGAGCTCGCTCGCCCCCAGAGGTCCAAGTGCCACGTGAGCTATGCAATTTAAAGGGTTGACCCACACTAGATGAAACTGGACTCGTACGACTCTTTTTATATTTTTTATACTTGAAATGAAATCCTTTGCTTCTTTTTTAAGCGAATGATTGCTTTTAATGTTTGCACTGATTTAGTTGCATGATTAGTCAGAAACTGCCATTTGAAAAAGAAGTTATTTTTATAGCAGCAAAAAAAAAAAATACAGTTAAATGTATTATACATAATTTTGGAACCAAAGAGGCCAACAGATCAGTTTTAATTTTTATTAGATGGTGAGGCCATCTTATGTGAGGTGGACGTTCTGAACAATCCCTTGAGTGGCCTGCCAGTGTTTCAGGGTATAAATGGATTTTGTTTATTCAGTTTGATGTGTCTTTTCTATCCTTACACACCCAGAAGGTAGAGTAAAAAAGACGATGGTAGGATGCAGGTGTGTATCCTTAAATCCCCATCTTTGTGTTTATTTAATAAAGCTCCCCTTAGGTTCTGTTTCATAATAATTTAAAACCAAACAATTTTCCCGTAGACTTGCTGTTAAAGTATTTTACATTTGTGTACAGTTCAAGGAAATAAAAGATGGAGTGCCACGGGCTTCCTGCCTTGTGTGGTGTCTGGGGTGGTGGGCTCTGGGCTCGAGGGGGCAGCTGCGGGGGGAGGGCGAGTCCCAGTGTACGGCTTTGATGCCGGTTGCCTCCCTGGGCAGCTCCCGGCATTCTCTGAGTCCTTGCCACGAGCTCGGATGTCAGGCAGAGAGTCTAGGAAAAGTGGCAGGAGATCCAAATGCAGGACAATTAGCAAATTCATGAATTACACATTTGTTTACTCTTCTAGTCCCGAGACTAATCGTGTTGCACCAAGGCCGCGTGTAGTACCGTTTGAAAGTGCCGGTTAAGCCCCTTCCCTGGGAGCACAAGTGAAACCTGGGAGGTTGAAGCCCACCTGACCCCATCCCCATCCCCATTTACTAACAGAGGCGACTGCGACCCGGAAGAGGTTACCGTCTTGGGATGGAAGCCAGAAATAAGGCCCTGGGGATGCCAGGTGTCCTCTCCTGTGGGGATTTTAACTGGCCGTAGGTGGTGGTGGTGTTAGTAGTGACACCGGCCCAACTGCGGTTGCAGGGATGCCCGGAGGTACCCAGCGGATGCTGTTGTCAGGCCGCCCTTGTATCATCATGCCTTTGTGGGAAATGGCGTTTCCCGGAGTTTGGAATCTGAGGCTCAGAGAGGTTCAGGGCTTACCTGAGGTCACAGAGACCGGACAGGCACCCTGGGCATTTGAGTCCTCTTGCCAGACAGGTGCTGGTCCACCTGTTCCCCTGGCAGGACCGCAGGGCTGAGGCCTTGCTTCATCAGAGGCCCTACAGGGACAGAGGGGCTACAGCGTGTGGTTTGGGGGTCACACGTGGTCTTCCCAGCAATCTCAGGTTGAACAAGTGGGACCTTAGGGGTTATCTAACCCCATTAAGCCAACAACTGGGAAACTGAGGGAGCTCTGGGCAGCCGGAGGGCCACCTCGATTCACATGGCCAGCGAGTGGCAGGACAGCAGCCTCTGGCCTCTGTCTTTTTCTAGTCTTTGCCCGGCCAAGAGAGCTGCTGCCCTGCCAGGCTTTCGTCGAGGGGTGCATTTGTTCATCTGTGATGTCTCGAGATGGTATAAAAGTTAACGGGGGCAAAGAAGAAAATTTCGCAGAGACAGGCCTGGCCTGGACGTGTTAGGGTATAAAAGCCACCATCCAGCTGTCCCCGGCCCAGGAAGTTTTGCCGCAGTCACCAGGGTGCCTCTGCTCTTTCGACATTGAGCGTCTCCAGGCGCCCTCCTGGGTCACAGGGTGGCCCACGGGTCCTGCGGGGGCCCCAGGAATGGCCTGGGATTCCGAGGTTGGAGGCCAGCGGCCGGCAGACGCGGTCCCCGAGTAGCGCCCTGCTGCCCTGTGCCGGTCTGTGCCCTGAGGGGTCAGCCCCGCAGCTGCCCCCCGCCGGGGCGATGGCGGGGGCCACTTGCTGTCCCCCTGAGGACAGGCTGCATCCCTGTCCCGGGGCTGGGCCTCCTCCCCCACAGGACCGTGCGGCTTCCTCCCTGTGCTTCTGTGGTCCTTGCCTCTCTGTTCTTTCCTCCCGGTGGCCTTTCCCCACATGCTCTCCCTCCCCCTCTTCCCAGGGGTCCTGGCCTAGGGTCCCACCTCTCCCCAGAGGCGCCCCTGGGGCCTCCGCTGCAGCCCAGAGAGTGAGCCTCCTGTGCTGCCCACCTCCCCCGCGGCCCAGGCCTTCCTGCTCTCCTCCCCTCTGTCCCTCTCTTCCTTCTTCAGGCCACCAGGCCATTAGCCTCTCACAGGGCCGGTGCGTCAGGCCGGGCCAGCCAGAGCCGGAGCAGCCCGCCCCACCCGCCTCAGCTACTTCCACGCTCCGGCTTCGCCCTTGGCTGACCTTCAGCGACCCAGTGGAGTCTGAGGCTGGGGGCGGGGCGGGGGGCGAGAGAACCCCCCACTCTTCCCTCCCGTCGCTTCTCCCCATTTCCCAGACAGGCACACGGAGGGTCCAGGAAGCAGGGCCTCCAGGGGTGTCCTGCATCTGCTTCCTCCTCCAGCCCCCTTGGGCGTGATGCCGTGGCCGCCCGGCGGGGCTGAGGGTCCCTGCTGCAGTTGCAGGCGAGGGCTGCTGCACCGGGCCGGACCCCTGGCCCACCTGGAGCTTGCGCTGGCCCCGCACCATGCCCTCGGCAAAGCCCTGTGGGAACTCTTGCTGGGGACCCCCAAGGGGCCTGGCAGGCTCCCCTCCTGGGCCTCCTGAGAGGGCGGGAGGGGGCGGGGAGGCCACAGGCTGTCGCCAAGCCACGGAGACGGCTGCAGGCTGGGGAAAGTGTGCCTTTGCAGGCAAAGAAGCCGAAACAAAACACCCTGCCAGTGGCCAGAGGCCCCGGTCGCTGGGCTTTCAGTGGGATGTTTGGAGCAAGCGGCAGATTACCTGCGGGCTTTGCCGGAGGGCCGGGCCTGCGGTCTGCGAGGCCTGGGGTGAGCCGTGCTTGGGCGCCGGGCCGGGCCGAGTGGGGGTGGGGATGGGCTGCGGGTGAGGCTGCGTGACGTGCGGCTCTGCGCCTGGAGGTGCGTCTGCCTGTCTGCTGAGCCGTGGAGGGCGTGAGGCTGTCTGTGTCCGTGGCCGTGCGCGGTGGGCTGCGTGTGAGTTTGCCCGGGTCTGAGGTTGTGTGGCTGAGTGAGTGTGAGACCCTGTGGGGTGTGAGACTGTGATTGTGGGGTGTGGTTGCCCGGTTGTCTGTGTGTATTTCTTGCCATTTTCATTTACTTCCTTGTCAAAAAATGATGCCCTTGGCCAGTTATACACGGTGATGGGGTTCGTTATATTTTTAAATCTGGGCTAGATCACCCTCTTGCCAGACAGGTGCTGGGAGCAGGCGTGGGTGCAGGCACCATTTCTGTGGCCCGCGTGTTCACCCTCAGTGTGTCTTCACAGCCCTGCTGCCCTGCCCTGGCCGTTCAGTGCCGGGTTGGGGGGCGTCACTGTGGTGTCCCTGCAGCCCCAAAGCCGGAGCACTTTGGAAGTAGAATGGGGACTTCCCTGGTGGTGCAGTGGTTAAGAATCCGCCTGCCAATGCAGGGGACACGGGTTCGAGCCCTCGTTGGGGAAGATCCCACGTGCTGTGGAGCAACTGAACTCTTGTGCCACAACTACTGAGCCTGCGTGCCGCAACTACTGAGCCCGCGTGCCGCGACTACTGAAGCCTGTGCGCCTAGAGCCTGTGCTCCGCAACAAGAGAAGCCACTGCAATGAGAAGCCCGTGCACTGCAACGAAGAGTAGCCCCCGCTCGCTGCAACTAGAGAAAGCCCGCGTCTAGCAACGAAGGCCCAATGCAGCCAAAAAATAAATAAATAAATTTATATTAAAAAAAAAGTAGAATGGCACTATCTGGTCAGTCCTTTAGTCACTCAACAAACATTTCCTGGGTGCTTGCTCTTATTCATGCATCATCTCAGTTTAGTCCTCACGACAGCCCAGGGCTGGATGGAGAATAGGTATCATTATCCCCATCTCATGGATGAGAAAGTTAAGTTTGAGAAAGCCATGCACTGAGGTTGGAACAGCTCATAAGTGGCAGAGCTGCGATTTGCTTCCAAGAGTTGTTTCCACAATCACTCATAGCCACTGAGTTGCCCAGGAGGAGGGGGGCGGGGGGGCCGTGGCTGTTCTGGGGCCTCCCTGGAGGAGAGGAGAGGCTGGGGCTGAGGGTCTTCTTGGCTTTCAGTTGGGAGGGGGCCACCCGCTCACTCATGCCAGGCCTGCTGCCTGGGATACCCGGAGAGCCATGGCATCTGAAATTTGAACTGTTCCTCTCTGGCTGTGGGGACAGCCCCATGCCCTCCCTGGCCAGGTGTGAGGGGTTTGGCTGCTGGGCCCCTTG